GCTTGTTTGATTATTTTGAACGTTGCAGCAAATGGCATGATCCTTTTTATTTTTTATTTCTTTCTCCAAACATGTTGCCCTGTGTTTCAGAAAGGAGTTCAAAGCTTTGCTGCAAAAATTTGGGAGAAACTGAACATTCTGTGTAGTTGAATGATTTTCTTTTGTCGAGCTTGAGGATGTTTTAATAGCTTGTTTAAAATAAACACGACTGAATGCTAATGCTGAAAACAAAGTCACGCATGCACTTAGTCACAGAGGTGTAGACCTGACTCATTCATTAAATGTAACACAATATTGACATATTTTCACCACTTCTTACATACTTTACAGTACTCTTGAGTACTCCTTTTCCTTTCGTAAGTTACCCCCCCCCCCCCCCCCACTTACCCCAAAGAGGAATTCTACCTGCAGAAATTAAACAATAAACAGATAAATAAATACATTGTTATCCTACATGTTATAATTTCCCCTCTAAACACAACTTTTCCACATTCCCATAACGACGTCGGATTTCCTTCTAGGATTAATAAAGTATTTTTGAATTGAATCGATTAACTTTTCCATGATCATTAAACTCAGTGTATTGTTTCATTTCCTGAAACCACCTTTTGATCGGACAAAACAGAAATATTCCATCTCCAGTACTTTAAAACTCTTTATTTAACTCATTTTTTGTTTAATTGGAGCACAGATGCTACTTTTAGATCCTTTACTGTTTAAACCAGGCTCAGGTGGCACTGAGAGGTCCAACCCCATTACACCAACCACATCTGCCTGAAGCACTGATACAAGGCAGGATGGATCCATGCTTCATGTTGGTGACACCAGATTCTGACCCAACATCTGAAATCCAAACTCATCCGACCCGTAAAGGTTTTCTTCTGGTCCAGTTCTGTTGGTCTGTGAATTATAGGAACCAGTGCTTATTTGCTTATTTGAGCTTCTGTCGTTTTCATCATCCAGAATCAGTCCGAACATTTTCAGTAACCTCTGGAGATGGCTGTGGGTTCAAATCTCAGTAGATCAGCAGGTTCTGTGATACTCAGACCAGCCCATCTGGTACCATCAAAGCCACTTAAATCTAATTTCTTCACCATTCTAATGCTCAGGGTCAATTTTAGCGAGTCCTATTTACCATGACTAGAAGCCCAAGTAAAATGAGTTTCTGCCATGTGATTGACTGATGTACTATTTGAATCGACACACATTTTAACATTTTAGATGGGGTGGAGCCAGTTGAGTTGGCTCGATCATCTGGTTAGGATGCCTCCTGGACTCTTCTCTGGTTTTCTGGACACGTCCAACTGGAAGAAGACCTGAAGGAAGACCTAGGACCGACTGGAAGGACTATGTTTTGCAGCTGACCAGGAAACGCCATGGCATTCCTGGAGCCGGCCCAAGTGGCTGGGGAGAGGGAAGTCTGGGCATCCCTGCTTAGGCTGCTTCCCCCGTGACCAGACCATGGACGGACGGAATGGATGGATGGACGGATGGACGGATGGATGGATGGATGGATGGATGGATGGATGGATGGATGGATGGACGGACGGACGGACGATGATTTACCAGCTTTGATATGAAGAGATGAAGTCTTTGATTTCTAAGAAGCATGGCGTGTCTCCAGCAGAAAATTATCTGTTTGTGGGAAAAAAACGATCTGTTTTCTCTGAGGCTGTTCAGACATATTGGTGACATGATAACAGCAAGCTGCTCTGGAGATAAAATCATCCAGTTTGACAGATGGGAGCCTAAAGTCGGGCAGTGCTGTATTAAAACGAGTCAGGCACATTTCGGGAGTTTATTCTCAAGAACGTGTGTCTGTATGTGGAAGTGCAAACTCCTGCTGCTGCATGACAGGACCTCAGTTTAAATGAGAAGCTTTATTTGAAACAACCCTTCCTGCCTGTAGGGTCTTTGTGTCATCACCATCCACGGGATCTGGGCACTATTTTAGTAAACTCACAATAAAAGAGCCATCTTAGAACACGTTTGATTAGAGAACCCCTGATGTGTTCTTTACAATAAAACAGGACTAGTTCTGCGTGGATCTTATGTGAATTTGACTTAAATAAATCCTGCATGCGCACCAGAGCTAAGTTTACCGTATTGCTGCCTCATTATCCAGGTTACTCAGTGACAAGAAGCTCTGAGGATTGCAAATTATAAACACACTCAGCTGGCAGCAGTTCTGCTGCAACAGATGCCCACCAGACAAATCCGCTTTGCTGCATGCCCGCTTCCCACTTCGACTGTAGATGAGTCACTCTGTCTGTCAGGCATATTTCTCATCTCTGCATCTAATATAGTGACTGGAAATTGGTTTTTGGAGAGTTCAGCTCTCTGCATACAAGTTGAGCAATTTAACAGTCTCCTCATTTAAATTTGACATTTTATTTGACTCACTGAGCAACACGTTGGGTTGTCACAACATGAGTGTGTTCTCTGCACATATCACACCACCGGTGTATTATTGTGACTCCTATTGGTCATATGTTTGCATATGTTGCATAGTTGTCCGTTTACAAATGTAAACTTCTTCTTCTTTTTTTGTCAAACTTAAAAGTTTCAGATCAGAAAACAAGTTTCTACATCAAACATATTTACATTTTTAAAGCTGTTTTTAAATGATTTCCTTTATTAAGAGAAACATAGCTATCCAAACCAAGCTGGCCAAAGGAGAAAAAATACTATTCCCATTATGTCAATTAACCACATCAACCACATGCTTTCAAAATCTGAGTAAAATCTCACCAGCCGCACACAGACATGCATAATCAGTACTTCAGCTGAACCCATCTGACAGCATGAAGCTAAAAGCATGACAACACGCTCTGTGATGGTACGAATCCACCTCTGCATTTTAGAAAAGATCATAGCAACAGTCACATATGGTGGAGGTAGTGTGATGGTCTGGGGCTGCTAATCAAATTCTGGAAATAATTGTGAGACAGAATTAATTTTGAATAATTCAATCAAAAATGAATTTGCTGTATGAGATCTGAGTCACTGTGACCCTTAGAAGGCCACCAATCATGTAACACCATCAAATATTTTAATAATTATTGAACACTGGATTTTAAGTACCTGTTGAAATTTTAGGAAAAAATTCTTATACTACTTTGTTTTAAATGAGGTCATCAGATTTGGAACAGTTACCCTAAGGCTGGTAGAGTTTTCACCTCCTAGGTAAAACTGTGGAACAAAAACAAACATGTTACTTTATCTACTTTTGTTAGTTATATTAATGTCTTGTTGTGTGTGTGTGTGTGTGTGTGTGTGTGTGTGTGTGTGTGTGTGTGTGTGTGTGTGTGTGTGTGTGTGTGTGTGTGTGTGTGTGTGTGTTGTTCTAACATGTCTTTTTGTACTGTCCTGTCAAATAAACTTAAACTATGAACTTAAAGTGAATTTCCCCACTGTGGGTTTAATAAGGTTTATTCTAGTCTAAACTAAACTAAATGAAGATAACTTAAATACATCAAAATATTAGTCTGTTAATGGCATTAGTAGTGGCTAACGTAAGTACAGCACGCACAATCTTATCTTATTGTGTACTTTGTGTACACATTTTGCTTGCATGATTAGTTTGAATGTTCATGGAGGGTTTGTGTCACAGCGCCCCCTATGTGCTCCTGACGCTCTCAGCAGAATCCAATTTTTCTCAGTGGCAGGTCGATAGAACATATTTTTAAAAAGGTTTGCAGAATCACACAACTTTCCTGCGTGACAAAATGATGCCCTTCATGTTCTGAGTTAAATCTCCAAATTTATTATTGCAAAACTGCATTTTTCACCATCTAGAAAACTGGAACATTTTATGAAAAACTTAGAAGGCAGCCATGTTGATTTACTCCTGCTACTCCTGGGCTACTCCTGCTATAAAGGTGTTCGTGAGAACCATGCAGGACCAAACCTGTCCTGACCAAATTATAAATAAAAACAGGTAGCTTGATGAGTCGTTCAGAAAAGTAATTGAAGAATTAGGTATGATAAACATTATTTTAATATCTATATAACTTTTTATATTACAATTCTCATTTTAGCTCTTTGGATTTTATATTTTAAACTTAATTTAATCTTTTACCAGTGCTTCCTCTGTGGGACCCCTCTGCCCCGGCGGCGGTGGTCGGCTGTGGCGGCCTGGGTGCTTTCCGTATGTTCCTGGGTGATGGTGGGGGTCTCTGCCCTCCCTGCCGTGGGCGCCCGGTGTCAGTGCCTCGGCTGCTGCTGTCCAGGTGGATGGCTCCCCTGATAGCGTTTCCTTATCCTTATCTTAGCTGGTCTGGCTCATCTGATCTCAGCCAATGGTGCTTTTTTATCATGGGGAAGGGTGTGTGCGTGTGCGTGTGTGTGTGTGTGTGTGTGTGTGTGTGTGTGTGTGTGTGTGTGTGTGTGTGTGTGTGTGTGTGTGTGTGTGTGTGTGTGTCAGTGGAGGAGTGTTGTGAAGGTTTTTTTTTATTGTCAGACTGTTTTTAAAATTCTGGGGATGGGAGGGAATGTGGGTATGTGGGGCCTTTTTAATTTGTTAAGCACTTTGAGTTGCATGTATTGTAGGAATAAGTGCTATATAAATAAAGTTGATTGATTGATTGAGGTAAAATATGCATGGAAAGTATTGTTCAAAAACTCACTAGATTTTTTTTCCAAACTTCATGACAGCGGAATTAAAATTTCACTAGGTATTTATAATTTTTAAATAAATTTCATCCTTTAATTCTTAGATCAAATTACAATTACAATTTATTTCTGAAGCACTAATAAAAACAAAGACGTGTACCAAAGTGCTTCTGTACAATAAAAATACATAAGAGGAGGAAATAGTAAAGTAACAACAAATCATAGTAAAACAAACCACTTCAGGGCGAAATTTATATATTATTTAAGTAGTTTTTTCACGGCATTGTTTTATATTTAAAACATGTACGCCACATTTTTTGTAGAGGCTATATGGTAAATTGGCTTGCCTAACCGCCTTCTCGCCAGGCTCCTCCTCCCGTTTTTAACTGTAAACATCCTGCTGATTTTAAAAGGACAGCGCTGAGCGGGAGGAAGGCGGCTGGCGCCATCTTGGTTGCTTTAATGAGTACAACAAGGGAGAATTTACTGGGAGAAATTACCTAATCGTTGTGATTTCACTCAGAGAGGGCACCTTTCGGTAAGCGTCTTTGCAGCGGCAATTGTTGCGCGTTGGGTTTCGTTCCTAACTAAAGGGCGTAGACGTGCATGTCGGGCTTTTGTCATCGCGGCCTTGTGCGAAGAACCGCTGGCTAAAACGATGGTGTTGAACTGATGGAGGGTGAAAGTTTGAGTGGACGTCAAAACAGTCTCTTTTGTGCTCATAAGAGTGAAAAATAATTTAAGAGCCAATATTTAGAATGTGAATGATTGTATTGTTGATTAAATGTGCTGGTCCGCTCGCTCTGCTTACGAATTCATTGCTTCTTTTGTAGTTAGCTTTCGGCTAATTTAGTTCGTCCCACTTGATGGCGCCGACTATTTACTGGCGTCGTCCATCACTTTGATGCTTTCAGGCGTTTTTCTGCGTCTGGTGAGTGCGCGTGTGTGGATATTGTACTTGTGCAGAATTTATGCGGTGCTGTGTGTAAAGGTACTGTTTAAAATTGTAAATTGCAAAAGTTTCTCTTTCACGCGATGCATTTCCAGTGTGTGCCCATTGGACTGAGAAATAGGCGGAACTAACTTGAATTTGTTTTGATAACGCATTGCTGCCTATTTATTTCACTTCATTGATGTTTTACACAAATGTAACGTTCAGAACCGGTTACCTTTTCATGGAAACAAAGCAAGTAAACGTAACGTGAGCTGACTTAATAGCCACCGATAATAAAGTGTGCGTATTTGTCCTAATAAAACACTATAACGTTTAGAAACACGTGTATTCATACAATTACATTTTTTCTTTAACGACCTGTAGCTCGAAAAAACTATTTGTGTCGTTGAAATTGGTTAAAGAGATTAAACTGGACCGCCAAAATGACACACAACTGACCACATGAGATTTTTGAGCATATTGCTGTTCTTGGCGTGTGTGGCCCCTTTGTTTTTGCCCACTGCTGCTGATTATCAAATCTACTGGTTGAGTTTGTGTTGCAAGATTGTAGTTTCATGACTTTATGAAGGGCTGCCAACTTTAGCAATCCGAAAAGGACAGAGTTTGACATAAATTACACAATTAGTCGTGTAATTTAGCCATGTCTGGGTAAATCAGATTATGTGAAGCCTATAAGAGAGAAAAATAGTTATTTAAATGCAAATCAAAGCCCCTAGAGATGAGCTAATTATGAGCAAATGTTATGTAATGATTTGAAAATTTACATTTTCATAATATACATTTTACACGTATTGTCATTGCAGCACTGTTGTGTTATGTCCTTAGTTATAGCTGTGTTATTCATGTGGCTGATTCTTACAGAAACTGTATGTTGCTACTATTATGCTCAGGGTTAAGTACCGTGTGTATTTATGTTAAACTATAAACATGCGTTATGTGTGTTTACGTTAACCAGAGTGAATTGTTTTTCCTAGGTAAGCCATACTATCATAGGGAGTGCTTGAACCCGGGGAGCCAGGGCAATGTTTTACGCCCACTTTGTCCTCAGCAAACGTGGGCCGCTGGCCAAGATCTGGCTGGCGGCCCATTGGGACAAGAAGCTGACCAAGGCCCATGTGTTTGAATGCAACTTGGAGAGCAGCGTGGAGAGCATCATTTCACCCAAGGTAACAAGAACACTTCTGGTTACTGGTGGCTTTTCCTTCTGTCTTCACCTTTCCCTGTTTGTGGCCAGCTCCATCCAGATCAGGAGTGGAGAACTTTTATTTGACTTTGAAAACACAAAGGGCTAAAATAATTGATCTGTGTGAAAAATAGTGATGCATTATTCAAAAAGTCTTTACTGTTAAATCACTCAGTACTTTCTCTCATGACATTTGTTCCTGCCGCTCTGTGTTGGGGTGGGCAGGATGTTCCAAACATAACATGATACTTCAGAGTATTCTGATGATGAGAATAAATCTGGTGGGGAAAGTGATTAATTCGTAAATCGTTTGGCAGGAATACCAGGGCTCTATGAAGTTCTTTTTATCCCAAATTCAGCTTTTTTCTATTTTATTCTTAATTCCACATTTTTATTCCAATTGTTTTTTAAAATCCTAAACAGTTCTCAACTATGAAGTGAATGAGTGATAATTCAACACACCAGTAGCCAAATAACCCAGTATTTAATGACTGTTGTTTATAAAAGCCCAGGACTTAATTCCCATAGTTCTATCATTTACTGTAATAATATATTTTATTGTACTTTTCTCGTTTGCTTTTTCTATAAATTTCTAATCTGTAGTCCTTATTGTTCATCGTCATCTGGTATCTTTGGCTTCCAGGTGAAGATGGCGTTGCGTACATCTGGCCACTTGCTGCTCGGGGTGGTGAGAATCTACCACAGGAAGGCCAAGTATCTGCTTGCTGACTGTAATGAAGCCTTCATCAAGATCAAAATGGCCTTCAGACCTGGTGAGAAGTGCTGTTACATTGTTGGAGTAACACCTAGTGTATGGTCCGATTACACAGGTCTTCCTGCTCTACGTGACAAGTCTTCTTGTTTCTGTGTTCAGGTGTTGTGGATCTTCCTGAGGAAAACAGAGAGGCAGCTTACAACGCCATCACTCTACCTGAGGAGTTCCATGACTTTGATCAGCCACTTCCTGATCTGGAGTAAGTCGACCAGAGTCGTATCGTAACATGTTAAAAGTGTTCTAAAAGAGGACATGTAACTGTATGGATGATCTACAATAGAATAGAATAGAAACAGACGATGACCTGTTGGTCACCCCTCAGCTTCGGAACAGATTTTTATCTGCTGCTGACCTAAATGCCATTTCTGGCTCTTTTCCTGTCAGTGACATTGATGTGGCACAGCAGTTCACCTTGAACCAAAGCAGAGTAGAAGAGATCACCATGAGGGAAGATGTTGGGAACATCAACATCCTGCAGGACAATGACTTTGGTGAGACAAAGATAAGCTGAGTTTTTCTCCACTCCATCTGAACGTATGAAAGGACAAAGGAAAAACAAGTCTGTGGTTCTGCTCCTCAGCTGATTTCGGTATGGATGACCGAGAAATTATGCGTGATGCCAGCACATTTGAAGATGACATCATCCAAGGTGCCACAGCCTCAAACCTTTTGCTGGAGGCAGAGCCCGGTCCAGCTAACCTCCCCGACAAATCCAACCACATGGAGTATGATGACTTTGGGGACGGCCCTATGGGCAACAGTGATGGTGGGATGCTGGGTGAGTTTTGCCTTGATGGCTCATGGTTGACCGTTTAGGTCTAACAGTAAAGTTCTTCTGAAGGACATTTTTAACATTGCATGATCATTCCTCTTCCAGTTGACAAGCTGCTGAGCTCCGAAGATGGAGGTGGCATCTTTGATGATCCTCCAGCCATCACAGAAAGCGTCATGATGCCTCCAGATCACGGAGATGATGAGGACGACTTTGACAACCTTCAGTCGCGTAAGTATCAGTTTACAATGAAACAAGTGTTTTTAGCTGTTCCTGAGCGTGTGTGCGCTGTCGTCTAGAAGAAGGTTCTGGTTTTGTGTCTGTCCAGCTGGTCCAGACAGTCCAGACTCTGGCCCGACTGAACCACTGCCAGCAATGGCTGACCAAACGGAGCAGACCACACTTGTTCATAATGAGGAGGAGGCATTCGCCCTGGAGCCCATCGACATCACTGGTAGGTCCCACTTCCTCCTGTCTATTTACTGATTTAGACTTTAAATAAGACACTTTGTTTCATCAAACTTATCTGGGAACAAAAAATTATTAAAAAGCTGCCGCTGACTGTTGGTGGTGAATGTACGGAAGTCTGAGAGGTCATCGATGCAGAAAAAATGGCTGTTTTGAAAATGCTCTAGCTGTACTAAACATCTGGATTTCCTGTTTACTGCATTCATAGTTTTTAATGAATAGTCAACTTATTTTCTTTTAACATTTTCAGAATACTTTTCTATGTTTTTCTTCATGCTTACTTTGCTTTTGTTTCTAGTGAAAGAGACCAAGGCGAAGCGTAAAAGAAAGCTGATCGTGGACAGCGTGAAGGAGTTGGACAGTAAGACCATCAGAGCCCAGCTGTCTGACTACTCTGATATCGTGACCACTTTGGATCTGGCTCCTCCCACTAAGAAGCTCATGATGTGGAAGGAGACTGGAGGAGTGGAGAAGCTCTTCTCTCTACCTGCCCAACCCCTATGGAATGCTAGACTACTCAAGGTACACCAGCACTATTAGTTACAAGTTAGTATCCACCCAACAACGAGAGATGGAGGAGGGGCTGGTTTGGTGCTTCTTTCATACTCGTGTAAACACTGAATGAAAGGCCCAATACTCGCCCTGCGGTCTTCAGCAAAGTGCACTTGAAGAAAGTGCAGTAAGGCTTTGATACACATTTGTGCTAATAGCCGAATTGAGACAGGGAGCATTGCATCGTTGACCGCAATGCATGCTTGGATACTGGTCGCTGTAATGCGTTTAGAACAAAAAACCTTTATCAACAACTTTCAAACAATCTAATGCAGGGTATCCGCGGGTCCTTAAAAAGTCTTAAATTAGCTTTTCCAAATTTAAGACCTTAAAAATCCTTAAATGACAAATAATCCTTAAATACAGTTTCCAAAGGTCTTAAATCACCAAAGACCCAATAAACAAGATTCTGTTATTTCTATAAAATTTTCGTGAATTTCTAGTTGGTGTTCAGCGTTTTTTGTGTACGATGTTGGCGTAAGCGGAACCGTACACATTCAGTTGGTTGTGAAAGGGGCCCATTTTTAGATGAGCACATTAGCTGGTTAAGCTAGTGGGAGCATGCGCCATGGGGAAGTGCAAGTTTAATGGTAACTGGATGGCTAATCCCACGATCGTGGCGTGGTTAGCACCGGTTCCAGGCAATAGCTGGAAATTATAGCTTAAAATTTTTTAAATAAAGTTTTTAAAAATGATAAATGACCTGCACTTGTATAGCACCTGTCATAGTAAGGACTCTGGGGGCGCACTGACAGAGGCACCACCGGTACCTCCGATCACCACCAGCAGGCAAGGTGGGCTACGTGTCTTGCCCAAGGACACAACAGCAGAATTTTCTGTCTGGAGCCGGGATTGAACCTGCAACCTTCCGATTACTGGATTACCCGCTCAACCTGTTGAGCTACTGCTGCCCTGCTTAAATAGCTTAAATTTGGTCAAAGTGGCCTTAAAAAGTCTTTGTCTAAAAAATTTAGAGCATCAGCTAATCGTCCTAAAATGAACTACTTTCATTGGAAAATACATATTTTCAGAAAAGGAACTTGAGCCTTTTCTTCTGCAGCAATGGATTGTGGGTAATACTCTTCACCCAAGTCTGCAGCAATGCTGACTTGGGTGAAGCGTGGATCAAGGCTGCAAAAGGGGCGTGATCAACATCCACACTTGAGAATCTGAACACCTTACACCCATAGGTGGGATTGCGCAATTGAAGGGTGGAGGTGTGAGTATTAGGATTGGGCTCAGGGTCCGAAATTAACACTCGCCACTCGCCAAATGCGAGCAAATTGCTCCATTTGGCGAGTAAATTTTTGAGCTCTATCTGCCACATGGCGAGTAAATGTTTGCACCAAATTAGTTATGTTTATCGGTCATCTTCCATGGATTTCTGATACTCCTCCCGCCTGCATGCAACGTACGCGAAACGTGAACGCCGCATCCAACGTCATTTCCACCTATCCCATTCAATCAGTTTATCAAGTTAGCAGTTAGCTTTGTGTTTAAACTAGTGGTGAAATGTGGCGGTTTTTAACTGGAGTCAGCCAGCCTTCCAAAAGAAAACTCGTCGAACTGGAAGAAAAACCACCAGGACCAGTGGCAACCAGAAGATTTTGTGAAAAGTGGCGAACCGGAGATGGCGGAGTCGTAAGACAATGGCTACATTATGATGGCCACGTAGCGTTGCTGCCTTTCACAGACAACTGGCCCTCGGCATTCTTCAAATATCCAAAAAAAAAAAATGCCCATACTTTCGACTTTGTCGTCTTTGAGGGATAATAAATGTCCCGAGTGCCGTCTCCTCTGGCCATTATTTCAGCTTTAGCTTAAAGAAAGTTTTGGTCGTAAACAACAAAGTGCGCACGTGCCGCCGGCAACTTCAGCAGATGATACGGTGGCTGGTAAGGGTCACCGCGCCTACACCGCAGCCACGGTAATCCACCGAGATAATATATATCTTTTTAAAACAAGACGGTTATTATTGTTGTCAACTTTTTTACTGGGGTTTACCGCTACACCGGTTACCGTGACAACCCTAGCCCTGACACACTTTCAGATATTCTCATGGTGCAGCTGTGTTCTCCAGAGATCAAGGACTAGGACCCAAATGAGGCTGTAATGCTTTGGCACAAAGACGGTGTCAGAAGCAGGAGGCCAGACTTCATGGACAGAGAAAACAAGGAGTCTGTCTAGATTTCAATGAAAGAGTTCATAAAAACATCTCTAAAAATAAATAAATAAATAGTAAAAATGACAAAAGAGTTGTTTTTCTTATTAATTGAAGTTTTAATTATTTTGTCACTGTTTGGAATCAACATAATATAGAATAACATGCTTTAGGTAGATCTAAATCATTTAGAATTTTGGCCGGTAAAAAATATGCTTGGCCGGTAGATTTTCATCATCTACCGGCCAACTTGGCCGGTGAGTAAAAAAATTAATTTCGGACCCTGATTGGGCCTAAGATGTAGTTTCCTTTAGACACACTAAAGCAGTTTGTAAATTAAATTGAGAATATTGATTTTACAAAAGGTCCCTTCTCAGAGTTTCATTGTTACATCCCAGATGTTCACACGCTGCCTGACACCTCTGGTGCCAGACGAGCTGAGGAAGAGGAGAAAGGGCGGCGAGGCTGATAGTCTGGATGAGTTCCTGAAAGAGCTGGAGAACCCAGAGGTGCCCAGAGAGGAGATCATGACGCAGCACCGAGATGTTATTGGTGAGTGATGGCCACGTTCCAGCTCTGATGCTTCGAGTGGAGGCTTGTGGCTAACCCTGTTTTAAAAATGTGTTGTTGCAAAAATATGCTCTACTTGCCTTCATTGGTTTGTACTTTTATTTGAAATATTTCTGCTATCCGCCCCTTTAGACCAGACCATCATGGAGGAGCCCAGCATGCTGGCACCTTCTGTAATGGAAGGCAGCAGGACGACGTTGGATGAAACCGTCATGCCCCCTCCATCCACCCCTCGTGGTGTTAAACGCAAAACTGTTGACAAGGAGAACACCCTTCCTGTGAGTACTCAACTTTTTATGTCTTCAAAGTTTTGTTCTTTGACACAATTTAGTTATTTTGTCCTCATAAGGTTGCATTGGATTTATCGGCTGTTTAGGTGCAATGACTCTAGTTTGTATGATGCAGTAAACATAAATGCATCCGTACTACTCCTGTGGTCTAAGTTTGGGTATGTCCCTTGTTTGGTTGCTGGTTTTCAGATGGCTTCACTGGAGCAGCAGCAGCAGCAGCAGCTATTGGCAGACCGCTCAGACCTGTCTCAGCAGCTCGGCATGTCTCAGATTGATTTACCTGCAGAACAGACGAGTGTGGACCTCACCCAGCTTGTTCCTGAGCTTGACCTCATTGAAGATAAGCCTACAGATAAGAAGACCGACAGTGAAGAAGAAGGGGTGAGAGGAAGCCACAGAGTATCAAGCTTTGATAAATTGCTTCAAAGCTAACAAGTGAAAAGTGATCCATCAAAAAAAGTTTTTGGTGACTGCGCTTCTTGAGGAGTTCTAACTATCATCTGTGGTTCACAGGAAGAAGACGGTCAGGCTGGAGACCAGGATCAGGAGGAGAAGAGATGGAACAAGAGAACCCAGCAAATGCTGCACGGCCTTCAGGTAGAAGAGCCTGACATAGATCAACTGTGTTTTTTTTTAATTTCAGGTCACCTGAAGTTTAGTGCAGAAGTGTATTTCCTGGTTGTATTTATAGTTCTGTGCCTCTTCCCGTAGCGCGTCATGGCGAAGACTGGTGCAGACTCTGTCAGTCTGCTTGAGTTGTGCCGAAACAACAACAGAAAACAAGCAGCTGCCAAGTTTTACAGTTTCCTGGTCCTCAAGAAGCAGCAAGCCATCGAAGTCACTCAGTCTCAGCCCTACAGCGACATCATCGCCACAGCTGGACCAAAATTCCACCTCATTTAGAGATTGGAAAAACAAACACTGCTTGCAACAGACATCCTTTTTTACTCTTTGCCTTTTTTATTTTGTTTTCCTGTTGAACCATTTTTCCCCCTTGGGAAGGGTTTGAAGCTTTTAAGAAAATGATTTTACTGTACTACAAATATAATCCTACAGTATTGGTTCATGAGGAGTAAGGAATGTTTTACAAGTATATTTATAAAGGAAACTTACCAGTTACCTATTTGAAAATTTGCTTCATAATGTTTTGTAAGTTAAAGATCTGTTGTCGGCTCATTCATTATCTTTAGTATGATGTCCCCTCTTTCAGCTTCAGTACTTAAAATCTGGCATCATCACACGTGATCCTGTATTGGTTCTGTACATTTTCTGGAAAGGTACTGTTATTGCTCAGAAGCGTAAACTCTCCATCACCTTCCTGCTGCACTTGTTGGGTAGGCAAAAAACCTAGTCTGTCAACGATAAAATCATACCTGGCATTATGTTTCTGATGTATAATTCAGCCAATTCATCGGTTACGTTTAATGTACTTTTTTTTTTTTTTTACGTTTATGCTCATCAGTCTCTTGCATTATGCAACGAGGCAACTTGTTGCAAATCACTGTCCCATCTTTTTAGACTTTAGATAACTTCTAGTTGTGATACATCTGTAAAAAAATAAAGTGTTTCTAAAACTTGGCTTAGTAAAGGAGTCTGTGGTCATTAAAAGCAATATTTTATGACAGAGGTTCATAGATTTGAGATTCAAATCATGGCTGTGGCCTTTCTGCATGGCGTGAGCATGCTTAGGTTTTTTTTCAGGCTTCCTCCTACAGATGTGAAAAGTGATGTGGTTCTGTCAGATGATCTTTCCAGGGTGACCTTTGTCCCATTACTCAATAACTGCTGGAGATTGGTACCAGCTCCTCAGCGCTCACGAGTACGTGTTTCTCAAGAAGAGTGGGTGCGTCAAATTTGGAATTGAACGTAAATTCATTTAGAAGCTGTTTGTGTACAAAATACAGAATAATGTCTGAAATACAAAATGGTGGAAAACAACTTTATAAGCGGAGCGAAAGGATGGAATAAACTTCATTTAGCCATGTTTTAAAATTACATGTTTCTACACGGACATGAAAGGAGATGCACCCAAAGCGGAAAAGTGCATCACCAAATTCTTTCCCCCTTTCTCTGGCGTGGACCAACACCGGCTCATGTCTTCACGTAAAGAGTCCACCTCTACTTCTGTCGCAGCTATGGCTTCTACAAGCGGTACTTTGGACTCTCCAGTCAAACAGATCCAGATTGAAGGACTGGTAAGTGTGCCTGCTGTCATTTCAGAGAACCGAGCTGCTTTTGCAGAGAAACGGTTGCTACCAAACGCTAAGTGTTAGCATCATCATGGCGCGGAGATAATGAGCATCCGAAGTAGTCTATTCCTTATTTTGATTGTGGTTTCCCCAACCGCATCCTTTGACAATTCTATTTTTTATATACACTACTTTACATGAAAGTACAATTATTCCACAACTGTCTCGGTAAAAGAGTAATTGGGCTTGTTTTGGGTTAGCTGCCTGATGCTTAGCTTGCAACTAAGGGAGCGTTTAATTCTAATGCCGGGGCCTCCCTGTTAGGGATTTTCTAGATGGTAGTGACGGTGTTTATTTCCTTTTTATACTATTTACATTTACTGTTTATGCAAATATTTATATATGTTAATGCGAGACATTCCTAGCATCATCTTTTGTTGAACTGTTATGAAAACTGCTACGGGGAGGCATCCTATGGGCTCCAAATCAAAATCCCGTCATCATCAAATTTTAATAATAAAATATTTACGAAAAACAAATAAATGTTTTTAATCTTTAAATTAAGTTATGAAATAATTATAATAATAGTTACATTTCTCACATTGTTTTGTAAACAATCAGTGTTATTTGATTTGTTAAAGATTTTGTGTATAAAAACCTTTTTCGTGACGTCATTAATTCAGACAAGTTTTCCAGAAAATAACTTTATGGCCACTTAAGTTGTTTTTACATTTGAAATTAATTATGTCAGGAATCAAGCTTTAGGCTTGTGTTAAAATCAAATGCATACACGAATAAAGTTTTACATGTTTTAGTAAACACATTGCTTCATGCATATTTTTACAACATAGTTTCAAAGTGAGTGTTGCTCTAATGACTTGTTTTTTATTCATACTTAGTGTTTTTGTTGAAAGTGACCATAAAACGCAGTCCATCTTTACATTCTGTAATACCTCTGTACAAACAGCAGAGGACAAACTTGCTGCGTTGGCATCCACCAGTAGGAAGACTTATTTTTCTCATTAAAACTGTCCTTGGGTATCAGGCTCTATTGACAGATTTAAATATTTTACCTCAATTATTTGTAATATTTCACCTTCTGATATTTTTCTAATTCCATCCACAACCTTGTTAACTGAATGTTTTAATCCCAGATGCGAGCCCCTTCTTCTGTGTGATCTCATTTCTATTCAGGGTGCTGGAGGAGATGTTTATTTCAGGTAGAATTATGAACCTCGTTTCACCTGAATGCATTGATATGCAGCAGTTGCTGCTGCATTACATCATGATCCTTCTGTCAGAGGTTTAGCTGCAGGTTTGCCTGTAGTTGGTATCACTGCTTCTGTGTTGTTGAAATGGTTGTTTTCCCACTTTAGAAGACTTTCTCAGTGGTTGTTGCTGGTACAGAATTAGATTGCAGCTCTGCAATGAGTTTCTATTAAACACCAACTGTGATTGAGCAATCGCCCGTGTTTGGGGAAAAAAGGAATAGCCTGGTTTCATTTATTCTGACGTACGACACACGTCAGACGGCGCTTTTATGTCATGAACTGAGGAAGAAGTCTGAGTACATTGTGCGGTGTATTTTTGGTGCGTTGAATTTGAAAAGCTCTGGGATTTTCATGCAAAGACAGGAAGAGTTTAATCTAAATGTTTCTTGAAACGGCGCCAGCATTGATTTATCTTTTTTTTTTTGTTTCAAAGCTGGTGTAGGAGTATGAAAAGAACAGTGTGAACAGTCAGCTCTTCCCCTGAGGCTTTTACACATGCCTTAGGCCCTTAAGCCTGGGCTTGTCAGGAATATGTCTCATAATAATGTGACACAGATCGGATGCCACGGACACAGGAGACCACTTACTATCCTCATGGTACACATTATACACACCAGTCAGTATCTCTGGCTGCTGTCTGTTCAGTTATTCTATGGAAACCTTATATTGTTTTACAGAAACTTGCCTCAAATTGAAATTTTATGTTATTTTGAAGAAAAAATGGAAAAATCTTAAATAAAAGATTTTAGGCTGAGTCAACCAGGTGTTATCCTGTCTGGTTTAAGGGAAGTTGTTTTGGTTACTCCCCACTTTACCTTTTAGATTCTTTCAGATTATACATTCTCCAGAATCTTCACATTTTAAGCCAGATTTGGACCGACATGTTTGAGAAATTTTCTCTTCAAAGTCAGCAGGCAAAAGCTGACAGATGAAGTGAGAATCTGCCATAGTCTTCATCCATGGCTTAACCCAACAGATGACTCCCACAGCACTTCTCTACCAAGCACCTCACAGCCAACTCTTGTGTGTCGAGTTCGTCCACACTTGAGCGGCGGAACGAAAAAGAAAACTCATTTAAGGATTGTCTCTCTCGCTGTACTTTCTCATAACTTGAGCCCCGTCGTGTCGGGAATAGGAGCTCTTTTTGTGTGAGCGAGAGAAGATTTATGATAAGAATTAAAGGCAGCCAACGGGAGATTTGGATCGCAATTGATTTTGCACAATTCAATTTTAAGCTTGTTGATTTATAATATGCTACCCACATATCAATCTGGGGTCTCCGCACATGAGGTGAGTTGGCTGGGCTAGCCGCCGGTAAGCTAGATCAATAAATCTGAGCATGAGTGTCGGTGTGGGAGAGAAAGTGTTGCAGTTAGAGATGATGCTGCAGAGAGAGAGAGAGCACTAGTTTTTACATGTGTGCATCGCTCCAACTCAGAGCTTTCAGGGATTTGCTTTCCATACCTGATGGCATTTACACAGCAGCAGGAAGCCGGGATACAAATGCACTGAAACCCCCACCATTCCTACCTTTCGTCCTTTATCTTGTAGGGCGGATGCCTCCTCAGTTTCCCCCCCTTTGTAGCCTTTCTGTAGAATTTCTCTGAACTCAAATGTAGCTCCCTTTGCTTGACCTTTTATATGCTGTTTTTTTTTGGTCAGTTGTCCCTCCCTCATCTCCTCTCCTCCCAGAAGGATGCTTTTTAAAGTGTGTGATGAAGAGATTGCCAAAAGGAAGATGGCTGCAGGCATATCTGTGTCTGCTGAAGAGAGAGAGGCTAGGGCGCTATCTGATGGTGGAATAGAAACCTCTGACAGGTGCAGCCAGGGGGAGCCATGGATCCCAGTCCCCCATCCTCCTCACCTCTCTTGCCTTCGTTGCCACATCTGTTTGCTCTTGTCGCCCTCTGAGCCTCTTCCTGCCCTCATTTGTCAGCATTTTCTTTGTGCTTCTCATCTCACCATCTCACAATTTCAGAGCCATATTTCCTCCTTGCCCTGCAGCATCATCTTCCCCATGGAGTTCTCACTCCTGCATGTTTTCACTCTTTCCTCCTTTTCCATCCATGCACCCCTCCTATTTCTCAGACACCCCCGACCCTCCGTCTCAGTCAGAAAAGCAAAGGCAGGCATGGAATGAGATTTGTTTTTCTCTGTGCTCCTGCTCCCATCGTCTCTCTTCCCGCTGCCCCTAGCTCTTAACTTGTTGCATGACAAGTTCAGCTCTCTGCTAAAATAAATCATCTCCCAGAACAACCTGTACGTGTGCACACGGGGGCAGCTGCATCCAGGAAGGGCTTCCTTTTGTTGTGATCATGGGTGCAGCACTGCCACCCTGCTCGTGTGTGTGTGTGTGTGTGCGTGTGTATTATTAATGCCTCTGGCTGTGACCTGCCCACACCGTTATCAGTGTAATTTATGCTCTACCTGTCCGCGCTGTGCTCTTTTTCTTCATCCAGTTCCTGTTCATTTAGACACTTAGCCCCTCTCTCCAGACAGCCTGCTCTGTTTTCTTGTGGCCTTTGATTAGTGAACATGTGTATAGTAATGCTCATCTCCTAGAACATGTGAAGGCTGTTGAACTTTTTATCACACATAAAACATTTATTACACAGTTTCCTTTGTTTATATGAATTAAAATTATTTGGAAAATTAGAGTACAAGTTCTGGTGTGTCTCCTTGCTGTATAGGTCTAGCAGTATTTCTATAAAAAATGTGTTTCAGCTCACCTTCCTCCTGCAAGTTAGAGCGGTGCCGAACACCAACTGGCCTTTTGCACACGTTCACGAGCAGCGATGCCCGAGTGATGGAGCTTGCAGGTGGTACATCCTACTCCACCACTCAGCCAGTCTGTGATTGCCTGAGTCATGCATCCCAGAATTTCCTCTTTATATAACGAGGATTTTGGGGGCATTTTCATGGCTGTATGTAGGAGGTTAGTAGCTGTTGTACAGAATGATGACTTTTGAACATGCTGTTTGATGTGGTGGCCATCTAACTGGTGCTGAAATTATAGCTCTTTGATTCTAAGACTAAAACAATTATTCTGAGACATCTGAGTAAATATTTGTCAGATCTGAAGAAGGGAAGAGCTATTTCAAGAATGGTCAAAGAGTACAAACTCAAAAAGTAGCCTTTGTTATTTTGCTCTCCGTCCATCCCCCTTGTGGTAAATATGCCAATGGCCTCTAGGTGGTGTTAAAGTGGTCCAAGCGGTTTCCTAACCTTCTTGGTAGGACCGAACCATTTGAGGAAATGATTGAATTGTGATTTTCCTCGCAAGAATTGTGATTTCAGTTAAATTCACGATTTTATTCAAATCAAGCTTGAGCACTTTATTTGTGCAATAATGTTTACAAACATGGCATCCTACCATGTGAACATTAAAAGCTGGTACTTTAATGCAAAGATGAAGTCTAAAGGTAACAACTGGACAGTTTTGTGAGCCGTTTGTTATCCCAAAAGCATCAACACAGATCAGTGACTCTTTTTACATGGAGACTTTAATTTACTGTAACTCCACAACTGCGTGTGCCATCGGAAAACTTCAAATGGTTACTGAAAGATGACATGTTGTGCTTTCAAATTCCTGTAGTGTTGTTGGGAAGCTGGTTAATCAGCCTCTCGCTCTTTGTGTCTGAAAGATGACCACAGCCATAAATAATATTGACTGTAGTAGCACCGCCGCCATGGCATATAAGAAATTCCTGAAGATGAACCAAATGCTCTGCTCTGTCAGCTCAAGCATCTGGCTTTTCCAACTCCCACACCAGCTACTACTGTTTTAGTACTTGTAACATCTGGGATAAAGAACCCTGCATGTGTAAAATAGATCCTGGGTCAGTCAGGAGTGCTACAAACAACCCCACAGCTTTAATGATCTCATGATCGTGTTCTCTGACATTGCAATTCCATCAGAAAATGATCAGCTGATGCACCTGAAGATGAATAAACATAAAATATCAGGCTGGGTCAAGTTAATTTGTATAGCACACTTAACAGCAGCTGAGCTGACCAAAGTGCTTCACAGAAAACATCTAGTTTAAAACCAAGAAAGAATAAAGGACAAAATGAATAGATAATAAAAGCATTAAACACAGTTAAACTGACTATAAAGCTAAAATTAGTTCTAAGGTACACAAGCGAATGAATAACACACAGCCAATAAATTACAAACAAATAAACTAAAAGTTTAGGTTTTGCTAAACACTTTGTCTCATAAATAGGTCTTCAGTGACAATTTAAAAGATTCTAAAGTTTGAGCAGACCCAAGTGGTTCCTGGGACCTCCTGAAGTAACTGGGAGCTAGACCGCAACATTCTGGCTGGAGTATGAGGTACTAGAAACTCCGTCAAATAAGAGGGGGCAAGGCCTCTAATGGATTTAAAAACAAACAAGATTTGAAACTTGACCCTGTGAATAACTGGAAGCCAGTGAAGGGACTTCAAGACTGTAGAACTTGCTCACATGGCTTCATGCCTGTCAGTAGGTGGGCAGCCACATACTAAACCATCTGAAGGCATAAACCAAAATAAAGGGAGTTGCTATAGTCTGTTCTACAGGTGACAAGCGGATAAATGACATGTTAAAACACCCTAGCAGGAAGATATGGCTTAACCGTCGTTAGAAGCCTTAGATGACAAAAACAAAAAAACTTGACTGTACTACTAGCGCACTAACCTGCTTAGAAAATTTAAGAGAACTGTCACTGCACACACCAAGATCTTTCGCCACTGACTTGTGACAGGAGGAATAGCCCAGAGGAATGTCTAGCATCAAGGTACGATTCCTAAAAGTAACAATTTCTCTTTTACATTCATTCAGCTGTAAAATGTTCAGGACCACACCAACCAACAGACTCTCCTCCTGATTTTAGAGGAAGACTGACTTGAATGTCATCATCAAAACAATGGAAGGAAATACCGTCATTCAGAAAGATGGACCCCAGTGGCAACATGTACAAAGCAAACAGAATAAGACTGAGAACTGAGCCCTGGGGCACACCACACTTCAAGGGCCATTCATTCAAGTTGTAGGGTCTCATATTCACATAAAAGGGCCTATCAGATAGATGAGAGTGAAACCACTGGAGAGCTGACCCCTTCAAGCCAACACAACACTCGAGCCTAGATGCTGTGGTCAATCACAGGAAAGACTGCTGATAGGTCTAGCAGACGTGTGTGAAAGCTGTTTCACAACACTTCATCCGGACGTGCTGAGCTGTCATAACTTTAAGTTAAAGTCTGTTTATTATGTGAAGAAAAATAGAATTTAGCTTCTTGTGCACCCTTAACGCTTTACAGTTCCCTCCAGCTTCCTACTCGGAAATGCAGACAGACTCCTTCCTCACACCTGGAAAGTTCACCAGCTGGCTCAGTGTTCATCAGGAAAGATGTTCAGTGGTAAAGAAGAGAAAGTAAACAATTCAACAAAAGTTAGCGTGTGCACAGAGATGGCTAATTAGTGCTTTTGTTTTGTGTCGTGTAAAAGAGGATTTCCATTACCAGTAACCTAGATGAAGGGTGATGTACATGCATGGCGTTTTAAATCGGAATGAACAATTTAAATAACCTAAGGCTTACTCGGCTTTGTAATTTAGATTTTCATTTTTGATAAAAACATAGACAGCTGACAGCCACGCCCTTGTTTTTACGTTCCCACTGCAGTGCAGCAGATAGAAGAGCTTTAAACCATATTTTAGTCTCAGCAAACCTCTCTTTTGACTCTACAAAGCAAAGTTAATGCTTTTCTAATCCACTCCAAGTTGAATAATTTATTAGTTCTCTGTCAAGTATATGAGTACATGCATTGGGGACATGCTTTTATTTTGTGTGTACATAGCTTTTCTAATTGAAAAAGCTTAAAGTAAGACAGCCTTTTATTTTTAGATACAGTATCTATCTTCTTATTTTCCATCAAAGCCAGGAGGAACCACTGTGTGATTGATTACACTGTTATATACCGTGATTGTGGTGATGCATTGTTTATGCATGAACCCTCTTTCATTTTTATGAAGGCCCTAAACGGTACCGCTTGTGTTCCTATAAACACAGACAGAACCCTCTACTGTTGCACTCTGTGATTTGGTTGGTTGGACGTTATTGAGCAGCCACAGGCAACAGAAAAGTGATTTCTTCATGCAACCTTGACCTATCTGTATGTTTTCTCTTTTTAAAATCTGCTGATGTCAATCAGTGTCTCCTGATTATGTGAACTCTCAACAAATGATTGATTTGACCAGATTAGTATGGTTTTGTCAGGAGCGAGCGGCCCTGGTCTCCTCTAACTGCTCCCCTTAGCTCCTGTACTGCTGGCTTTTGTATTATTTCATTTCCTCTGGAACAAAGCCATGAAGATATTTAAAAGTTATATTTGAATAAAAAGTGTTCATGATTAAAAGTCTACTAGGTCTGTGCTTTGTATTGGTGCCTATGGCGCCGAGGGCACTTGTCAGGATGACCCTCATGCGCTCCGGAGGAAAAAGTGATACTGAGGAGGCCGACGTCTAGTGCAGACCCAAGTGCATTTATTTACATTTTTTACAAATTAAAAACTAGGCAGCAAAAATCCATGCATGCCGCTCCATCCATTTCTCAACCGTCTCCAACAAACACAGAGCTGTATTTATAACAGGTGTGACTAATTGGACTAATCCTAAAACCCAGACACAGGTAAGTACAAAAATACAATCTTTCAATATTCTTAAATTATTCTTAAATCATCATCTATAAGATTTCTTTAATAAATTACAATACAAAAATAGGAAGATCCTTAATCAATCCTAAAAACATTCAGTGAAACTAATCTGCATTCCTAGAGCAATTTCACGGGTCATCCCTCCTATTCCTCCTGAATACAGTGCCGTTTCATTGGCTTTTGAGCCAAACTTCACAGAGCTTTTTGGTTTAACAGCATCAAAGTAAAGTGGCTTATATTTACTGTTTTAATAAAAACAACAACAGCAACAATCTGATGCCACATTTGGAACCTTGGCAAAACTTTTCCTGTTTGGGAGCGTTAAGACCAGGTGTGCCTAACCCTGGCCTTAGAGACCCCCATCCAGTTCTTTCTCTGCTTCAACACACCTGACTTTAATCAGCAGGTGATGAACAGGCTGCTACGGCAGGCGATTCAGCCACTGAATCAGTTGTGTTAGAACAAGGAAACAACTAGAGCAGGTTGGATAGGGATTGTAGCACCAGGGTTTTTTTATTCCCAACATTTTAGTTTTCCAGTCTGAACATCCTTCCTCCTAAACGCAGCCTCTCTCTCGCTTTAATGCAGTTTTTATTTAAAACACATTAAAATCAATGTGAAAACGTTTTAATTAAGGTTTTTTCCACTTTCACAAACCGCAGAATGTTTCCTAATTATGTTTTTAATTTTATACATGCACTTCCATATTAGAAGGTGACATTAGACATCATCTGCTTTGTTCTCCTTTATATTCGTTCACCCGTTTAATTTGTTTGTCCTCAAATGTGTTTTGAAGAACTGGAAGGAGAGAAATGAATAAGCAAAGGTTCCCTTTTGCCTTCTGAAACAAAAAAAAAACCTAAATCACTCTAATGAGCACAAGTTAAGCTGACAGGCGGGACACGACTGAGCATGATGGCATAAATTCAGGTTTAATGAGATAATATGATAAAACCACTCCGTAAACGTCCAGGTCAGAAAACATAATCAAAACCCCGAAGCCGTTGTTAAAAGCTCTTGGTCTGAGTTGTCTTTTTGTCTCCGCTCACAGGTTGTGCTGAAGATTATTAAGCACTATCAGGAGGAGGGCCAGGGCAGCGAGGTGGTGCAGGGGGTCCTGTTGGGCCTGGTGGTAGACGACCGGCTGGAGATAACCAACTGCTTCCCCTTTCCTCAGCACACCGAGGACGATGCAGACTTCGACGAGGGTAATTCAGTTTGCTGTGCCGATTTACTCACAACTCATAGTCTGGAGTGACGGTGGTAGATGGATTTGTGATACCATATTTGAACGCATCTGAAACGGTTACTTTGATTGCTGATAAGAACTCCCTTTGTCATTCAGATTCGGCCAAGTGCCTTTATGAACTGCAAGTTGGGATGATTAAGTTTTTAATTGGCTCCCACCTCTTGGGTTGATATAGCAGATGGTGCTGGAAATGTTCATTTGAAACATTTCTGTGCAAAAGGGGGTGGTGGTGTAATCCATTTTAGTTTTGGCTGTAAAACGTGGATGGATTGGTTTTAGTTTATCTGATCGTGCTGAGTGACAGGCGGGCAAAGAGGTTATTGTCTTGAAGCCTACAATCTTATCAGAGTTGGGTTTTAAACTCAACAAAACTGGTTTAAAATAAACATTTCTGACTCTAGCTGGATATGCTGGCAGTGAGTCTTGAAATCTTAGCCTGATGAAATGGTGAGGCTCTGAGGTATGGTTGTATCATCATGTAAACCCGGAGTAACAGTGTGTTTTTGATCCACTGGTGCAGATTTAAGGACACTATTGAGCTCTAACTGGACCCACTCGGTGCCAGATGTCCTACGCTGTCAGTGCCAGGGTTGATGTGAGAGGTCAGCAGGGTAGGGGTGGAATATTCCTCCTCTGGGGGTCACAGGTGGACTGCGTGAACGTGTTTAGGATTTAATTTAGTCTTTATCTGCAAAAATCCACTTCCCTTTTCACCCCACGCCTCCCACTGGAGGCTGCCGTGTCCTCGGACCTCTGCCCCGCTCTCGTTGAGCCTTGTTTTTACCGACTGCCTGTTCAGTGCTGTGCCAGTCTCCTACAGGCTGGACCGTGGGGCGGCAGGAAGACGAACAGATGCAAGGTGGACAGGGCGAGAAAACTCCTAACAGGCCTCCACTGCTAATGAGCAACCGTCAACACACTGAGCAGGATGCAATGCAACGATGATGGCTAAAGGTCGTTAGTGTGAGGAGCAGTGGATCTGTGTGTGTGTGTGTGTGAGTTGGTGAAAGCCACAGCCGGCTGTGATGTGGACTCGTGATGGTTTGGGTTTTCCATCTGTCACTCTTTTTAAGTTAACAAGCGCTTCAGTGACTGACGGCTTGCTGTGAACTCCGGTAAATTTACCGAGCTACTACAGAAATCCTCTCAGCGGATTCTGATCCAGCTGCAAAAGGTGACAGGCTTCAGGTTATCTGCCGGTATGGAACCAAATTCCAAATGTAAATAGGATTCACTCATGTTGTGCTTGCTGGTTCTTGCCAACTTTTGTTCTGTCAGATGAGAACATGACACCAAGGGGAAGTGTGACTCTACAGAGAGCTGCTGCCTCATCCTTCTTTGGCTTCTCTATCTTTTCCTCTGAATCAAAGCCAAGGAGACAGTCGGCAGAGTTAAATAGTTGATCAGCCATAAGGTGTAAAACTGATTTCATGTTCTTTTGTTTCTGACTGGACTGCAGCTTGAATTTTCTCCCCACCCACACAGCTGACCAGCTGGGCAGTCAACTGCCTCGGTCGCCGCTGCTCCAGAGCAGCTAATTGCTGGCCCTTCATACGTGCTGGTGCTGGAGTGGGCTGCCTCGACCCTCTGCAGACCCACACAGAACAAAGAGTTCTGCTTTGGTTCTAA